ACCCTCCCGAAGCTGTGCCCCATTCTCATCGAGCCCCTGCCCCAGGTTTGCATGTGTTGTAAATGTGATGTGACTGCCCTGACCCTGACCCTGACTCTGTGCCTGGTCTCCGTTCTCCTCTCCAGCTGCCGGCGTGTGGTGGTGCCGAATGTCGATGGCGTGCCATGACCTGCACGTGACCACGGCGCTGGCTCTGGTGTGCGGTCTGGCCTCCGCCGGGGCCCTGCTGGGGGCCACCCTCCTGCCCCAGTGGAGGGTCCAGCGCCTGCAGTCCCCTAACCGCAACGACCGTAACGTCACCGTGTCAGACGGGCTGTGGAGCCGGTGCGTGCGCTTCGAGGGCTCCGGCGTCGGCGGCTGCTCCCTGGACGATCCCACGTGGTACCGGACCCTGGACCAGCTAGACCTGAGGCTGCTGCAGTTTGCCTTGCCCCTTTCCCTGCTGGCCGCTTGCTCTGCCAGCCTCCTGTGCCTGCTGGGCATGTGCCACGGGGCTTGCAGCTCCAAGATCCGCAGCGTGGACCTGGTGAAGTGCCTGGTGAACGCGGCAGGCTGCCAGCTGGTAGCCGGCACACTCTACCTGCTGGCGGCAGCCCTGGTCTGCGCGCCGTCCCTCTGGCTGCTCTTCCACACGGCCGAGCTGAGCCGCCGTCACCCCTCCTCCTGGAGCCCCGGCCTGGCCGCCTTCCTGGCCCTGGGCAGCGGCGCCGGCCTCCTGCTGGCCTCGGGCCTGCTCTTCCTGTGGTACTGCACCTGCCGCCCGCTGCCCCCTCCCTTCTGGCAGCCGCTGGGCTCCTACCCCGAGAGCCTGCAGGCGCACAGCGTGGGGCCCTACTCCCGGCGCTCGCGACTCTCCACCCTGGAGATCGATATCCCCATCATTCCCCAGCAGGTTCGCTGAGGGGACATGAGAGGCTCCTGCAGTGGCGGAGTGGGGAGAGGGGAAAAGAGGCTCCTGGTGGGTGGTGTCAGGGGCTCTTGGGGGTTTGGGTAGGAGGGGTTTGGCCAAAACCCCTTGGGAACCCCTATTCCAGCGGCGTCATATTCTCTCGTCTCCAGCAACCCCCGCTTCTGCACAGTTACCTGGAGTATTTGCTCCCATTTCTCCCCACCCCCTGGGTCTTGATACCCTGTGTTAGCCATTCCAGTACGCACACTCCCCTCACCCCACCGACCCCACCCCATACACACACACACACATCTACATATACACACACACACGCACAAACAGACACAGACAGACAGACACACACACACACACACACACATACACAAACAGATAGACAGACACACACACGCACAAACAGACACACACACACACACAGCCACTGTCGTTGTCTTTAACTGGGTCTGACAATATGCACTGATGTTCAACGTTAATCCTGCCCCAGTTGGGAATGGGATGGGTAGTGAACAGGGGATTTTTTTTGTTCAATTCCCTACCCACCCTATACCCACCGCCCCCCCCCCTCCCCACCACCACCATCACCACCTCACTTCCTAGGGAGGTGATGGGGTTCAGATTGTGGGCTCCCCTCTGAGTGACAGAGTTTGATCGCTGTGGTGGGGTGTTTGGGTGGGGGTGGGGGTGGGGCTGGGGCTGGGTGTGGGTATAATCATTCCCATTGTGTGTGTGTGAGGAGGATGGTTCGGGGGTTGTCATATCCAGTATGAGGAAGACACTGAGCGGAATTTAAGACTGTGATAGATAGATTCCTGACCGGTAAGGGAGGGATCGAGGGTTACGGGGGAAGACAGGAGAATGGGGTGAAGAAACATATCAGCCATGATCGAATGGCAGAGTAAACATGATGGGCCAAATGATCTAATAGTGCTCCTGTACCTTGTGGTGTGCTGGGGCTGAACCACACACGCACAGTCTCTCACACGCACTCTCTCACACATGTGCACTCTCACACACGCACACTCTCTCACACGCACACTCTCTCACACGCACTCTCTCACACACACACACTCTCTCTCACACACACACTCTCTCTCACACACACTCTCTCTCACACACACTCTCTCTCACACGCACACATTCTCACACTCACACACACACACATTCACTCTCTCTCTCTCATACACACACACACAAAGACACACACACACACACGCACACACACAGTCTCTCACACACACATTCACTCTCTCACACACACATTCTCTCTCTCTCACGCACACACACTCTCTCTCACACACACACTCTCTCTCACACACACACACACACACACACACACACACCTGAAAGCCAGTCTCTGTAGAGGTGTCTGTGCAACATTTGGCACTGGTAATCTGTTTTCCCTGTATTCTGACAAGAAGCAATATCCGTCTCTCTCTCTCTGTCTCTTATTGCTGAAATGTGCACTGAAACATTCTGTGAAATTAAACGGAAAAGAAAAAATGTTTTCTCTTTGGTGGGCACTGTCTCTTCTTTTTTCTGCGTCTTCCTGCGACACTGTGTGTGCCATTTAATCGTCCAGCTAGGATAGCCTAGACCCTAACTTTTTCTTATTTTAAAGGCCAGTGCCAGGTGTTGGGTCCTGGATGCAATTCATTGCTCAAACTATCAGATTTGAAGCAAAACACAGGACATTGGTGAGGCCTTTTCTTGAGTACTGTGTTCAGTTTGTGTGAGGCTTCGCCCAGTTATAGGGAGGATGGAGAGGGTTCAGAAGAGATTTACCAAGATGTTGCTGGGTATGGAAGGTTTGAGTTATGAAAAAAGGCTGGGTAGGTTGGGACTTTTTCACTGGAGTAGGAGGTTGAGAGGCGACCTGAAAGAAGTTTATAAAATAATGACCAGTATAGATAGGGTTAATGGTGGTTGTCTTTTCCCTAGGATGGGGGTTTTCAAGAGTAGGGGGCACATTTTTTAAGGTGAGAGGAGAGAGATTTTAAAAAAGACACGAGGGGCAAATTTTTTACACAGAGGGTGGTTCATGTGTGGAATGAACTTCCTGAGGAAGTGGTGGATGTGGGTACAGTTACAACATTTAAGAGACATTAGGATAAGTACATGGATAGGAAAGGTTTGGGCCAGGAGCAGGCAGGTGGGACTAGTTTAATTTGGGAATATGTTCAGATGGACTGGTTGGACCAAAGGGTCTGCTTCTGTGCTGTATGACTGTATGGCTCTATGACTTTATTCAGACAGTATAGTCAAAATAGAATGAAAAAAAAAGAAATTGGAGTAATTTAACTCTATTGGAAAACTTAACAGAATAATAGATTATTTACTGAATAAACAGCAACTGTTCCAATACAATAACATCCCATAACATACAATAAAACACCCTTGGCAAAGGCAAATTCAGTAAAATAGATTGTCTCACAGGCAATTCTCCAGTCCAGGAAAAAAAAAATCAAGAGAAAACTCTGAGAGGGAGAGAGACGAGCAGGGGCAGATGCACTGCGGCTTCCAAACCCAGCTTCAAAACACCAGCAACTGCTACTGACTAACTAAAACTAAACATCCCGGTTCTGTGGGAACTTGATCCCACCCATTCAGGCTGCTTCTAATGTTCCACCCTTTTAAAACAAAACCCAAAGCCTCTCAAGCTGTTCATTGGATTCGAACAGACGGCTCGTCTCCTCTGTCTTAAAATCTCTCCTCAAAAAAAATAACCAGGGTAAAATATATCTCCTAAAGCCATGGTATTGTCACACTGGGATCTTGCTGTGTGAAAACGAACGTTCCTCTTTTCCCCTGCAGTGGAACAGCTTGGAGGCCCAGCTGCTGTTCACGACCAAAGCCCTTTCGCCGAACAGTGAAACACCAAAGGACCTGGGGCAGAGATTTGCACATGGACTACCCACAGAGAAAGAGGTGGGGTGTGTCAACATGCTCATCCCTCAGCTGATGGATCATGTTCTTTACAATAACCCCAACATCTATCTGAATGTTAAACATGGGGGTTGGGAAGATGAACAGTGGGACACTAGGAACCGCAGACAAATCTTGGGGACCTTGTCCCGAAAGTGGCAGGACTGGTTAATTACAAAGGGGTACGGGACCCCTGCCTTTACCATAGAATCATATAGCACGGAAACAGACCCTTTGGCCCAACGTGTCCATGCCGACCAGGGTTCCCAAACATGTCCCTCTAAACTTTTCCAATCCATGTTCTTGTCCAAATGTCCTTTAAATGTTGTAACTGTACCTGCATCTACCACTTAACCAGGAAGATCATTCTACCTACACGTAGTCATACAGCACGAAACTCCTAGAATCCTTACATTGCAGAAGTTGGCCATTCGGCCCATTGAGTCCACACTGACCCAACGAAGAGCATCCTACGCAGACCTACCCCCTACCCTAGACACAACGGGACAATTTTCCACGGCAAATCCACCTAACCTGCGCATCCCTGGACACTATGGGACAATTTCCCATGGCCAACCCACCCTAACCTGCACATCCCTGGACACTATGGGACAATTTCCCACGGCCAATCCACCCTAACCTGCACATCTTTGGGCACTACTATAAAACTGGTTGCTGTACTAATTGTCAAGTAAAAGGGCAGCAACACCCATCCTCCCACCATCGCAGCCCCAACAGAGGCTGCGAACGAAGGAAGCTCGCTCTAGAGCTTCTATCCCGAGGGGGCAGTCCCATTGTAGGCCTGCCCACCCCCGGATCCTGTCCAATTGGATGCCGGCTCCGGTGCTGCCGTCCAATGGGAAAAGATTCTTGACCTAGGCGATGATGGGCATACAGTTGGACCAATCAACGCACGTGGCCGTTTGAGGGCGACTGCCCTCATCAGATCGGTGGGGACTGGTGCAAGTCCCGCTACAGGGCGGGGAGTCTCCCTGATGGACGTGAAGATTCACCAATAGATGGGAGAGTATCTACGACGGGTGTTGATATCAGCCAACAGACGCGGTTGTGGGTGTTGCTTCTAGCGATGGCGGCGGATTCACCAATAGAAGAGCACCTTACTGATGATTGATATGGAGTACAGCCAATAGAGGTGGCTGGACTGCGATGGATGTGTGTTGGAACCAATGAGATGGCGGATAGTCAGTACCTGATCCGTCCCACCATACTCACTTCCGGCCGAGAGGCAGAGCGTCGGCATTCGCTGGACGGAGCGGAGGTAAGTTGGGGTGTATTCTGTTTTCTCCGCCTCTAACTTCCCTCTGCTTGCTGCCGCTGCCGCTGCCGCTCGGTTTTTACCCACCTCGATCTGAAGCCGCTTCACGGGAAATAATGTGGTGGAGATTGGATGGACGTTGGCGGCGGTTAATTAATTTGACGAAGGCCGAAGTAACGTAACGGCGGGTGGCGCGGAGGATCCAAGATGGCGGCTGGCGGTGTCAGCAACGAGGGAGGTCAGGGGTCTAGTGAAAGGTCATGGGTCAAGGGCATTGGCCAACTTGACCACGTTTTTTGGGAATCGACCCCTTGTGCCTCTGTTTGTAATTCCAGTAGTTTCTGAGGATGAATTATGAGTTGTGTGTGTAACATTGCGGTGGGATGTGATCTTATCGTCTTATTCCCGGAGATGTTTAGTTGGGAGTAGTTACTTATTTATTAGCCCCAGTTGGGGAACACTGCCACTGGGTACTGAGATTGTGAGGGGCTTGGACAGAGTGGATGGGAACCAGTTGTTTCCTATCTCCTTCGCTCCCACCGGTCCATGCCGACCATACTCCCAGACTAAACTAGCCCCACTTGCCTGCGCTTGGCCCATAACACTCCAAACATTTCCTGTTTGTGACCTTACCCAAGTGTCTTTTAAACGTTGTAACTGTACCTGCATCCACCACTTCCTCTGGAAGTTCATTCCACCCATGAATCAGACTCTATTTTTTTTAAAAAATGCTCCTTGTGTCTTTTTTAAATCTTCCTCATCTGACCTTAAAAGTATGCCCCTTAATGTCGAAATCCCCCACTTTAGAGAAAAGATCCCTGCATTTCACCTCATCCCCTGCATTTCACCTCATCTATATCCCTTATGATTTTATAAACCTCTTTCAGGTCATCCCTCAACCTCCAACACTGCAGGGAAAAAATGTCCCAGCCTGTCCTTAAAAATTCAAACACTCCATTCCCAGCAACATTCTAGTAAATCTCTTCTAAACCCCCTCCAGCTTAATAATATCCTTTCTGAGCAATGAAGGTACCATCTTAACCACCCTATCTATATCTGATTCAAACTTCAAAGAATTATGTTCCGGAACGCCTAGATCTCTTTGTTCTACAACACTACGCAAGGCCCTACTTTTAATTGTAGTCCTGCCCTTGTTTGCTTTAACAAAATGCAACACCTCACATTCATCCAAAGTAAACTCCATCTGCCACTCCTCAGACCATTGCCCAATCGATCAAGATCTCTTTGTAATCTTACATAACTATTTTTATGTTGTCGAAGGGTCTATAGAAGGGGGCACATGTCCCTACCTCTGCTAATATTCAAGGCCCAGCTGCTCCAGAGGTTTGTGAGAACATCTCTGAGCAGGTTGCTGAGGTGTGAGTGGCAAAAGGTTAAGAATTTAAAAAAGGTTAAGAATAAGGGCGGCACAGTGGCCTAATGGTTAGCACTGCTGACTCTCAGCGCCAGGGGACCCGGGTTTGATTCCACCCTCGGGTGACTATCTGTGTGGAGTTTGTCATTCTCCCCGTGTCTGTGTGGGTTTCCTCCGGGTGCTCCAGTTTCCTCCCACAGTCCAAAGATGTGCAGGTTAGGTGGATTGGCCATGCTAAGTTGCCCATAGGGACGTGTAGATTACGTGGGTTATAGGGGGATGGGTCTGGGTGAGTGCTCTAAAGGTCGGTGTGGACTTGTTGGGCCAAAGGGCCTGTTGCCACACTGTAGGGATTCTATGAATTGGTCTTGGCTGCAATACTGGGGTGAAAACGGATATCCTAAGTGAAATTATTTTGATTGCTTTACAATGAATAGATTCTTGATCAGTCGGGGAATTAAGGGTTGGGGGTAAAGGCAGGAAAATGGATGTGATAAATGTCGGATCAGCTGCAATCCTATTGAAGGGACTCTCTTATTTCTTATTGTCTTATGAGGAAATATCTAACAAAGGGGCACACTTTTAAGATGGAAGAAGATTTGAGGAGGATTTTTTTATATAACAAGTGTGTGGCGGGGGATCTGGAATGCACAGCCCAGGAGGGTAGTTGAGGCAGGTAACTTTGCACAGCCCTTAAACGAGAATAAGCAGATGAGAACTTGAAGTATCAAGATGTTTGAGGTTATTGAGGCTGAGATGAGTGTCAATGTGATAATACTACAGGAGGGGCCCCGCTTCTGCACTGTATGGATCTGTAATCCTGCCCTTCCAATGACACCACACGTCCCGTGTCCTTTTCTGCTCCACGGGATCGGAGGCCAGAGATTTGCCATATCCGTTCTGCACGGAAACACGGTGGGGTATTCCTGTGATCTTGTACTCTTAGCTGGCTCACACCAGGGGGAGATGATGTCCCTGTGGTGTTATCACTGGATTATTAATCCAGAGACCCAAGTAATGTTCTGGGCACCTCAGTTCGAATCCCAGCCCAGCAGGTGTTGGTATTTGAATTCAATAAAAAGAATCTGGAATTAATATTTAATAATGACTGTGAATCGATTGTGGGAAAACCCCATCTGATTCACTAATGTCCTTTGGTGAACGAAACTGCTGTCCTTACCAAGTCTGGCCTACGTGTGATTCTAGACCCACAGCAATGTGGTTGATTCCTAAACTGCTGCTGAACAATTTAGGGATAGGCAATATATGCTGGACGTAGCCAGAGATGCCCTCATCTTGTCAATGAATTTTTAAAACAAAAACATATTTCTGTAAACCTGTGATCATTGAGTCATACAGCACAGAAAGAGACCCTTCAGCCCAAGTCTTCCATGCCAATGAGGTTTCCCAAACTAAACTAATCCCATTTGCCTGCATTTGGCCTATATCCTTCTAAACCTTTCCTGTCCATATATCTGTCCAAATGTCTTTTAAATGTAGTAACTGATTTTGCATCTACAACTTCCACTGGCAGTTCATTCCACACGTGAACAACCAGTGTTTGATTTGGGTGGCATTAGGGGTTTCAAGCATTCATTAACCCTGATGTGAACAGATGCACAGCAACTAAACACATCGTAGAATCCCTATAGTGTGGAAGGAGGCCATTCGGCCGGTTGAGTCTGCACTGACCCAACCCCTACTCTAACCCTGTAACCCTGCATTTCCCATGGTCAATCCACCCTACCCTGCACACCTTTGGACTGTGGGAGGAAACCGGAGGAGACCCACGCAGACATGGGGAGAATGTGCAAACTCCACACAGACAGACAGAGACCTGAGGGTGGGAGTGATTCTCTATAGTGCCCACACCACCCCGTGTCCCAACCGCAACAGCCTTTCAAAGGGTTACAAATGGCAGGCTCTCACTCTCCAGCCCCAGCAAGACATGGCGGCAGGTGGTCTCTCTTACTGTCGTTTTATTGCGAGGCACTCGTTTCCAATCTCCTTTCACCCCTCCTTCTGGACTCTTTCCCCACAGTTGGAGGGAACTTTGACACCCCTAGAGTGAACACCAGCCCCTGTCTGTGTGATCCACCTGTTGGATCTAACCTCACTTTTGCCTGGGGTGGGTGGGGGTGAGCAGGATGGGATGTGTAGGTTGGTGATTCTGGTGACTGTGTGGCTCACCGCAAACCTGAGACCCAGGTCATCCTCCTGGATGTGAAAGACAGCGTATGCTGGCTGTACATGGGTGTATTTGGCTGCGTCTCGGTAGAGAGAGAGAGAAAAACTGTGTCAGTGTTTCGGGCCAGTGACTTTCAGTCAGAAATGAAGGGTTTAGGAACAAATGGAGTGGTTGGGAGGGAAGGAAGGGTGTGAAAAAAATCAAAAAGGGAAGGTCAGTGATTCGATTGGAGGGGGAAGAGAGCAGCAATAATTGGGTAATCAAAGGACCAGGTGATCTACCAGAGTGGAGGACAGGGAGGAGTCAAATCACACAAAGTGGAGGCAGGGATTGGGGCTTGGTGAGTGCAGAGGGAAAAGAACCAAACAGTTGGTCAGGGCAGCACCTCCAGAGCCTGGAAGGCAGCACTGAACCTTGTTGGAAGGTGATGTTCCTCAGGCTGGCGTTGGGGCAGGGGGAAGAGGTGGAGGGCCTGGCAGAAACTCCAGGCTCCACTGGGTGGAGAGGTGCCAGCCTGTATTTGGTCTCCCTAGTGCGGAGGAGGCTGTGCTGCAAGCGGTAGGTATGCCTCGTTGAAAGGAGTGAGTATGATGTGGTATGAGTCCTAGAGGTTTGGGGTAGAGGGAGTATCCGAGCCCCTGCGTGTTTTGTCTAATGTCCTTCTCCCCTCTTTCCCTTCCTATCAGTGGGGTGTGGAGTGACGATGAACCGGATCCGGATCCATGTGCTCCCGACTAACAGGGGCCGCCTGACCCCCCTTCCCCGGCTGCAGGAACCCCAGGCCTGTTCCTTCACCCACCGGCCGTGCTCGCAGCCCCGCCTAGAGGGCCAGGACTTCTGCCTCAAGCACATCCTCGAGGACAAGAACGCCCCATACAAGCCCTGCAGCTACGTGTCCTCCAAGACTGGCAGGAGGTGCACAGATCCCGCTCCCAAACCAGACAAGAGAGACGCGTAGGTGGCCGCCTTCTGTCGGGGTTGGGGGGAAGGAAGGGTGACTGGCGTGACGCAGACCACACGCGCGCACCCCCCTTGGGCTGCGGGGGGTGTATGGGGTACATGTGAAGTGAGCCTGCTTTGTCCTGGATGATGTTGAGCTTCTCCAGTGTTGTTGGGGTGGCGGTGGAGGGGGGCTCGAACTTGCAGGTGTTACCCCCTGCACCTGGCACCGCCTATTCTCTGGGGTTGGGCGGGGTGTGGCGGTGGGCTTTAGTAGAGTCAGGAGGGAGGTATTCACGGGGTGTTGTTGGTAGTGATGGGGCGGGGGGAGGTGGAGTTGCTGTTGTAGACTTACTCGCCGAGCCAGTGGGTTTGGTTGCAGACATTTTGTCACCCTGCTCGGTAACACCGTCAGTGTGCCTCCAGTGAAAACGTTGGTGCCCTGTCCCGCTTGTTATTTATACGCCTCAGTTTGCTGGGGTGGTTGGTATCCCTTCCGGTTCTGTTTTCTCAGTGGTTTAAATATCAGATCCAGTTCAATGTGGTTGTTGGTGGAGTCTCAGTTGGAATGCCAGGCCTCCAGGAATTCCCTGGCAAGTCTTTGTTTGGCTCGTGCTGTAATGGATGTGTTGTCTCAGTCAAATTTCTGTCCTTCTTTGTCTGTGTGTGTTGAGACCAGTGAGAATTGGTTGTGTCTCTCAGTGGCTAGTTGGTGTTTGTGTATCCTTATTGTCAGTTTTCTTCCAGTTTGGCCTATGTAAGGTTTCTCACAGTCCTTGCACAGTATTCTGTATGTTACATTGGTTTTATTGGTTGTGGGTATGGGATCCTTTACGTTCGCCAGTATCTGTCGCAGGGTGGTTGTTGGTTTGTGGGCTACCCTGATACCTAGGGGTATGAGTAGTCTTGTGGCCAGCTCTGATATGTCCCTGATGTACAGGTGACTAGTATGTCTGGCCGTGTTGTGTCGTCTTGTTATGGTCTGTTGTGGACATAATGGCGAACTGTGCTTTTTGGGTATCTGTTCCTTTTAAAAAAAGTCTGTATAAGTGCTGCTGTTCTGCTTTGTGCCGTTCCGGGTTACTGCGTGTGTTGCTCGTTTGAATAATGTCCTGATGCAGCTCCGTTTCTGGGTGTTGGGGTGGTTGCTGGAGTAATTAAGTATCTGGTCTGTACTGGAGGTCTTTCTGTACATGCTAGTCTAGAGCTTCCCGTTGTTCTTGCGTTCCACCATTATGTCTAGGAAGGGTAGTTGATCATTGTTCTGTTCTTCTGTGAATTTTATTCCGGTGAGCATGTTGTTTATATGTCAGTGGGTTTCTTCTAGTCTTGTGCGTTTGCTATTCACGAAGCTGTCATCTACATAGTGGCCCCAGAGTTTGGGATGGATAACGGAGTTGTTCGTTATGATCTGACCTGTGCCTTTTCCCCGGTAGGGTAGCGTACTGCGCCGAGCACGCTCGCAAGGCCGCCCTATCTGCCCATCAGCCATCTCGGAGGGGCAGCAGCACAGCACCCTCTCCTGAGGCTTTGCTGGCTCAGCTCAGCGGCTATGTGAAAGGCGAGGCAGGCTCCCACGACCACAGCCGGAGTGAAGCCAGCAAGATCCTTGGTACGACAGGCGCAATATCAATGCAGCTGGGGGCATGGTGGGGAACATCTTCTTACTTGTTCGGGTGTTGTGGCCGTCATTGGCTAGACCCATCTGTCCCAGTGGTGCGTGAGTAGAGGGGAGGGTTTACATGTAGGGGCTCAAAGGGAAACCTGGGGGCGGTGGTGCCCCTTGTCGTTCCAGAGGGGTAAGGGGTTCGGAAGGTGCTGTCAGTCGAAGGAGGAGCCTCGGTGAGTCGCTGCGGTGCGTCTCGTAGATGGTACACACTGCTGTGGCTGTGCATCAGAGGCAGGGGAGGAGGGAGCTGCTCTGTCCCTGGACGGTGTCGAGCTTCTCGATTGTTGTCAGAGCCGTGCCCCGTCCAGGTGAGTGCGACGTGTCATCACCCCCCACCCACAAAACACCTTCACACCCCTGACTTGTGCCTTGTCGATGGGGTGGGGGGCTGGGGTTGGGTCAGGAGGGGAGTTATTCACTGCAAGATTCCCAGCCTCTGAGTAACACCACTGAACGTCAAGGAGGCGATGGTTAGATTCTGTCTCCTGTTGAAGACGGATCACACGTTCCTGTGATTATA